GCATGAAGGCTTCATGGGCCTGATGTGTTTCTCCAGTAACCAGCATGTGGACTTTTACTGGGGAAGAGAAATGGAACTTAGAGATGAGTTATGATTATCATGAACAGGAAGCCTACATGAAACTTTTCTGCAGAATGATTGTTTTCATCTGTCTGTCATTCATGTACCTATGTGTTAAAGTGTTCTCCACCTCAAACAAAACATGATGTAATCACAACTTAATTACAGTTCAATAGAATATAATATAATAGTAAAATCTGGAATTTATTTGAATAAGGCAGGAACATTATATTCTTCTCGGCTTTGACTGAAAATGGATCATTTCACATGGTAGAGGTCAATCCTCAAAAACACTGCTTACCTGAGGAGGAGTTCAGAATGTAATACAGTTTACGTAAGAGGAAGGATAACCAAGGGAGCAGACAGTCAAGCAACAAAAGCTCACCTGTAAAATATATGCCATTTTGAATCAATTGCGGTACACTGCAAATAAAATGGCCTTCCAAATTCATTCATTCATAAACGGTTTCTGTTTTGAGACAAGATGGCGTAAAACTGGCAAAGTTATCTGGAAAAATGGAACCTAGTAGCCCCAATTCAGGTTAATTTTGGTACGTCACCTCCTGCTGCCAATGTGCAACACTGTCTGTGTGTGTGTGTGTGTGTGTGTGTCTATCTATCTGCCTGTGTTTCTAATTTCAGTCAGTCGTGTCACATATGCTGTACCAGTTCAAATACAAAAACATGTTTAGAGCTCATAGTGTCTTGCAGCAGACTTACCATGAACTATGTATACTAAAATACAACAGATTTTGTTCAGCCAGTTCGGCCCGTGTTCCTGTGAAATTGAAAGTGAAATATTACGCGTTGAAACATCAAGACAAAGAATCTCTTATCTGGCTTGTAGTTATTCAAATAGTCGTAAAACCAAATTATAATATTGGCTTTATCGGTCTACGATCTACACTGCTTGGACGTACTTCTTTTTACGCTGTTACGTACGATCTGCCGAAATTTGAATTGTATTTAAGGTTTTTTTTAACACTTTTGCCCTCGCTGCGATAGGTTAATGCTGTCATTTCTTGCTTTTGTTAAGTTGAGCAAGAATAATAGCCTGACGTTTCCGGACTATATAGTTTATGTCGCGTGCTGCTTACCTGATTGTCCATGATTGATTTATTTGACTTTATTTCCTGATCGTTAAATATTTCCTTAGGCTGCAAATTAGGTGTGTTTCATGTCGTTCCACATCAATAAAAGCGAAAGTAAAATGTTGGGGAAAAGGTGACATAGAATATTGCTGCCGAGACGCAGCTGCTTCTTTTGCTGACTGAAGTTCGCTTTTTATTCGCGGATTCTTTGTCGTATAGCAATAGGAAGCTGTGGGTGTGTTCATTATGTAGTGACATAAAAAGAATAAATCTGTAAAAGAATAATAAAATAAATACAAATGCAAATAAAATAATGAGAAGCTAAAAACGCTTCTTTATTGCGTTTGTTTTTCTCCTATTGATTTTGCATTTCTCCTATTGCTTTTACTTTTCCTCTAACGGGCAAGCTGTCAATCAACTGGCTTTGTGCGGGCCAGTTTATAATTTTCACGTGATGTCAAATCCTTAACCCTCACACACAACCCAGACTTTAACTCGAACGAACAGAAATCTAGTCTTTTAAAGTATAGCCTACACTTATTATTTTGGTGATCGATTTAAATTATATTTAACATTGGAAACGGACGTTAATAATGTATTTTAATTCTACAAGAAGGGACGTTAATAGCATATGTTAATTTTATTA